CTGTCATGCTGCTAATGGTGTTTTCTTGTTATTGTGCCTTCTGGTGTGATAGATCCACAGGGTAACTAACACTGTCTGCATTGCTTCCTTTTTAGTGCTGATTTATTTTAACAGGTTATTCACTGCCTTTTTGCCTAGGACAACTGGAGAGATGTGCAACATATTTATTGTCTATTCTTTTTCATTATTAAAGCAATTTGGTTCCCACTGTATTTTGCTACGGTCTCCCCAGCAGCCCCTGAAACTTTGGTGGTCACCACCAACTTGCCTGAACACCTCTTGCCCATCTCGAGGGAGACCCAAGATCACACTCTGCTCCATGCTGAGCTTAAGCTATGGCATTTTAATAATACAAAGGCAGAAGGAAAAAAGAGAGATTTTTTCCAAACTCCCTTTTAAATAAACAAAGGTTCCTCTCTTCCCCTCACCCCACCCCATGTTCGCAAACAAGCAACAGATGCCATCGATTCACTTTGTAGCTCAGCTTTTGATCTGGCTGCACTTTGATTTTCAGTGCTCACTTTTGACAAGGAAGGGAGTAAGAGCCCCATTTTTGTGACATTAATAGAGGCTTTTCTGCTGCAGTAATTTATTTGTGCTCTGCTAATAATTTTCTGCTGATCCATGTAGATTCTGGGTGACAGACACGGCGAACAGGACAGAGTGACAAAACATGGTTTCCATCACCCTGCGAGATTTTTCCAGGGGCCTGGGGTAGCGTGGGCTGCTGCTCCCCCTGACACTCGTTTGCCTGCAGGGTACACCAGGGCTGTGCAGAGCATCCGTGCCCAGGCTGGGAGAGGGCAACCGCCGCGCAGCCTCCAGCACCGGGCACGGCCCTCAGGACTGACATCGAAGAAGACAACTCATCTGAATGCCTTTCAGGCAGCTGGTAAGAACAAGGAAAAGGCATCTCTAAGAGGCTTACATACAAAACGGTACTAAAAAGGGCAAGTCAAAGACAGCAGAGGTGGGAAAAGCCATATTTGTGCAACAGCTCCATCCTGCTAGGTGCTCCTCTGAGATCTCGCTGAAGCACATGGCAGACAAAAGCTTTAGTAGCCATTTTAATGCACATCAACTGTGTAAGACATAACCTGGTATTTCATGTTCCCCTATTCCCACAAGGGCACAATCACTCTCTCTGAAGCCTCAGGAGCTGCCTCAGCCCTTGCACAAGAGCAGCTCCGTCCTGCCCCGTGCTCCTCAGCATCACGAGGAAGGTCGGGGAGCAGAGAGGGGTTCAGGGCAGGACACCCAGCCGAGCACATCGGCAGCAAAACAAAGGCAGAAAAGTCTGATTTGCAGCACCACGACTGGGCCACATGTGGTGCAAGTGCAGCCAGGCACTACTGACTGTATTACTTTACCTAATGATCCAACTTCACCTAAATACGTGCATCATCCCACCAGCACCAGCGTCGCTGGAGACTTTTCCCATCAGCTTTGGTGAAGAGAAGAGTGTTTGCGGAGGAGCTAAAAAAGACCCTCAGCAGTCAGAACAGAAAGACACCAGCAAGTCGGCATCAGAAAATTCGTATCACGCCTGCCCGTACTCCAACCCTTCTGCAGAGAGGGCTGCACGCTCCCAGCTGTCAGTCCCTGGCGGGCGCCGCGGCAGACGCACGCTCGCGGCAGGGAAAGCAGGAGCGAGAATAGCAGGCACCTCGCTGGCGGGAGGTGTGACAAATCCTTGGCAGAGTACAAAACCAAAAGCAGTTTTAAAATCAGCAACAGGCATCTGACAGCTCTGAAAAGAGCCTCCTTGGCGCTCCTGTGTCTTTACAATGCTCTGCGAGGGCGGATGCGGGAGCTGAGGAGCATTGACGTGATGGGAACGTACTGTTCGTCAGGAAGATGCGGGGCAAAGCGAAAAGCATTATCATTGATCCAAACATTGTTAGGCTGTTTGGTACATCACTGGTTTTCCTTCCAGCTAAGAAACTTTATATGGTTGCTCATGTAAAATTAAGCTTAATGTGGCATTAAGATTCTACAAAATTATGCCTGGAGATGAGGAAAGAAGTGAACTCTGAGCAGCGACTAAGCCTGTATTGATTTTTATGCGTGCGTTTCTCCATCACTGTTGCTAAGCTGGTGACACTGTGAAGGGCACAATTATTTATGTTCCATCAAATTAGTAAGTAATTCAAATCCCTGACGAAATCTCAAGCAAAAATTGCTTTCACTTCCACAGAAAGTCCTTCTGACACTTAAATTGTTCACTTACCCCTAGAAGGGCACCGTAAGAATATGCGAACTTCACAGAAAAAAACCCCAAAAAGCTATGCAAGAAAAACGAAAAAACAGCTCACCGCTTATCAGTATCATCCCTACACCTCACTGAGGGTCATTGGAGCTGTCACCATCACAGGGACAGACGGACCAGTACGGGCGCTCTATACAGCGTGGTCCAGAGTGGAGTCCCGTATAGAACAGGCCTTCTAGTACCAGCACAAAGCACACGAAGAAATGAGGATGAGTGTTCGTGTGGGTGTGTAATTTCCTCTTTGACAACTGAATGATTGTGAGGAAGGAGTGACTGTCCAGCACAACTCAGGAAGGATGCTTTGCTGTTTGGAGGGACAGGGATTCGGAAAACTGAGGAAATCTTACTTAAATAGACATGTTGAGATGAGGCACTTGGGAGGAGCAAAGCTGAGGGGCTGGTGATCCCTCCAGCCAGTAGAGGATATACTTTAAAAGCAAGGTGGTTATCTCAACATTCACATGTATTTTTGATTTCTATGCTATAAGGCATGTGCCTCTGTATTGTGGTGACCACCTGAAAACAACGGGGGCACGGAAATCTTATAAAAGGCAAAGAAACTTAAGGTTTCAATTTTGCCTTTCTCCAGCTCCTTTTGTTGGATCCCTGCTCGATCCAACCACTCTGTCCAAAAACCACAAGAGTTTTCCACTGTATTTCAGCCAAAAAGTCTGTGTTGCCTAAGGGTCCCAGTCAAATGCAGCCAAATGGAAGGCAGGAAGAACCTTTTCAGATAAATTCATAAAAATGTGCTCACGCAAGATGTAAGTAAATTACATCAAGAAAAGAAACGAGAGTGTCAGGAATAAAAGCTCACATCTTTACTATTATGCTATATAATAACATTAAAAGAGAGATACGGTATGAGAATTCTTCACTGAAACGTTCCATCAATATTTGACTTGAAGAGAACAATTTCTTTGAACAACTACTTTGTAGGAGGAATTTCCCTTACTCTAGCCACCAAAAGAGCCTTAGAAAAGGCCTTTAATCAGGGCCTTTGAAACAGGAAGGAAAGCAAGATTTTCCTCTTTTTCTTCCTTAATGTTTTGAAAAGGAAACAAGCTATTGAAATATATCAAGAGATTTCCTTTACTTGAAACACTAGCAGCCTTCTGTGCATTGTGAGCAAAACAAAAATAAATGCCTTTTATCCACCCAGATTTTGCTGCGAGTAGGCAGCACCAAAGCAAACTAATCATTATGTGGCCAGGGAATCACAACCTCGGGACCGTGTCACATCCTACCCAAACAATTATTTTTGGGAACGGAATAATACTCTTAGGAGCCACCAGTATGATTATCCACTAGCGGCTGCGTCGGCTGCAGCAGCGAGGAGCAAAAGAGGGAGCAGGAAAAACCCAACGATATGGCTAAAACACTGTCGCGCTTGCAGGGGGTAGAGAGTCTTGAAACAGAAGACAGGTAGAAAACAAATCTAAAAAGAGACCCTGGCCCAGTTAAAAGGCAGCCTGACTTCAGTGCCAGATTACACAGCCACTGAAAAATCCTTGCAGCCCAACTCGTCCTCGCTTTATTTTTGCTAGCGTGTCTTGTTACCCAGTGGGAGCTAGATAATAACATCTATTTTTGTGGAAAACAACACAGTTTTTCAGCTCAGTGTGTTGGTTTTATTTCACAGCAGAACACTGCAATTTATAAACAGCAACACCTATGGAAAATTCTCTAAATGAAGGACTTTATGGTATGTTATCATTTAACCCCTATTTTTCACTTTCATTGGATTTATTGGTGTTCCCAGTTGCAATGTTAAACGACTCTGAAAGTAGAGCAATTAATCCAAAATCCTATTTGTTTTAATCTAACACTGTCAACTAGTTTTAGGTTTGCAGTCAAGAGAAAAAAAATGTTTGCTAAGCTCTACAGCACTAGCTAATGTCTAAAGACAATCCTCAGAAAAGGTGCAAAGATGTTTTATCACAGCACTATAGATGGGACGGAGATTTATTATAGTACCTACCACCATTCCAGCAGATGCCTTTTGAATTACAATGAGATTATTAAAACTTTACAAATCATTATATTAAACCCTGACAAGAGTACTTTGGGAACTGGAGCATCTTGATGTCATTGCTAATGATGCATTACCCGTGATAAGGTTGCAGGAAAATTCCTAAGTAAAAACTGGTTATAAAAGTATAAAATATATTAATATTTATTTCAGTACCTGCTATAAGTTCAAGGATAATAGGTTTATATGCATCAGAACAGCCGAATGATCGTATTTATGTCAGCATTAGAAAGATGTTCATCTGCTGCAAAGTTTAATTAATTTTCACAGATAGTTAATTTTCTGTTTCATTATCAGCTCCCTAAATTTGAAAGACAAATAATTTATAAACAAATAGAAACTTCAGAGAGGAGTATTTTTAGAGCAAACAGAAGATAAATAGCAGGAGTGAAGCATCAACGCTGCCTTCGAAGTACTAATATGAATGATATATTGTAGTAGGTTTTGATTGATAACTTACGCATTCTGGAGCACTGACTGAAAAGAAACAAATTGTTTATTGTTAACCCCAACCCATTTTCAGGTAACAAATGACTCCAATCTTTACCAATCAAATAATGGCTGTGATGCCCTTAAACATCAGTGAATGAGGAATGTGCAGGCTCACCGTGTCCTTTCAGGGGTGACCTGATCCCTTAAGGACAACATTCCTGCCCTTCTCCCCTTCCCAGCAAGAAGAAAGTTTAAGCAGCTACTTACCGTGATGTACGACGCCCTTCAACCCATGGATAATGGGATCCAGTGCTGGATTGTCCCTCTGACTGACCTACATGCAAAGGATACAGGATTGGTTACATCTATTCTGGCATCAGGCAGAAAAGTCTCAGTTTAATCTTCTAAAGAGAAAAAAAAAAAAAGATGTTATCTAACAACCTGCTTAGTTCTCACATTTACAATGCCTCTTCACCAAATGCCAAAGATACATGGAGTAATAAAATAAAGTACGGAAGGTTAAATCAAAAGAAAGCATCCTCTGAATTCATTAAAACATTAGCCATATTATCAACCCAGCAAAACCTAAAAACAGAGAGCTGATTTTTCTCCATCTACTTCTGCTTTCATAGAGGAAAACTACTGCGATAAACAGAAGTTATCTCAGGCCAGTTCATCCCTTACTGATACGAGAATAAATCTGGCGCCGCCACTGCAATCAGTGAAGCTGGACCCCTTTCAGCTGTAATGGAGTTGGGCCTTGGCATCTCTTTGCTATTCATATTTTTACATTTATTTAATTTAGCGTCACTTGGACAAGGGAGAGGGGAAAAAAGCTTTGCGAGAGGATTTAGAAGAAATCTCTGAATTTTGACAATGCAATTGCCTGCATTGCCACACCAAAAATTGGTATCCTGCAGCATTTCTTCCATCACCCAGCAATCGCCCATGTCCTCTGCAACGGTGAGAACCAGCACCAGAGAGGAGGGGAAGGCAGCAGGAAGGATTAACCCTGTTTAGCACCACAACTTCCAAATTAAACCCATCACTTCAGTCACTTACTTGTACCACAGCCAAGGAATTTACAACCAATAATGCAATTTATTTTTAACCTTTTGCCTCTTCAGAGGTATTGAAGGAATAACTCACAATTTCTCTGAACACATTCCTTTATTTAAGATACTTGCCAAATTACTTTTGGGAGATAAATACTGGCATGTACCTCACTCACATGGCACAATTATCTTTTTTTTTTTTTTTTTTTGCCACCAGTCAGTATCAGAAGCCTGAGCAGTGTTGATCATTTTTGGATGGACTTCTCCCAGTGGGCAGACACACTGAATGCAAAAGTGCTCCTCTGTATTTTTCTGCCCACCCAAGATCTCAATGTCATGAGGAAAAACAGAGTTTAATCACGTTATGGCCATGTATTAACAGATGAGGAAAGGAGTGGAGACAAATGAAGAAATCCCCAAGAGAGACCATTGTGCCCAGCAGGGAACACACTGTCACGTGAAGCACAGAATCAGCTTGGAGTGCGCTCTTAGGAAGAGGACATCATTGACCGCAGCACATCCAAAAAACGTGTTATTGTAAAAAAATCACAATTTTTAATGGCCTGAGGAGAAAACTGGAATCCACTGCCCAAGTTTCACAAGCACATCTCTTCTCATCCTTCCTCCCCATAACTAATTAGGAATCTTAGAAACCTCATTACCTCCTTAGCCAACTGCATGGAGAAAAAACACAGCAAACCACCTTTCTTTCTTCTGTTTATTTGGCCTTTGAACTACTCTGCTGTGTTCAGGATACACTTTCATGCTCTTGTCTAGAGACAAAATGGTTTGTTTTGGTTTGGTGTTTTAAATGGAAATTGAAGAGTCTTTTTTCATCACAGTACTCCAGAACTTGCAACAATCGGGTAGGGCAAGATATGCAATAAAATTGTGAAAGCAGCAACAGCAGCTTTGAAATATATACAGCTTAGATGTTACTGGCAATAATATTATTAGCCCTGAGGGCTGTAAGCTCTTTGAAGCATGAACTTTTATATGCCCAAAGGGGTGCTCTGTACACTTTGGATTCTGTATAAATAATAATCACAGTACACTGAACCCAATGACCCACTTTGTAGGTTCTGTCTGGCTTCTGGCAAATCAACAGTAAACACAAAAAATGCAGAGCTGTTGCAAGACACATTCCTGCACCTTTTCCATTTATTGAGGTTTCTCCAAGCCATGGCTACCACTAAAAAAAAAAAAAAAATCATTAAAAAAGCTACGAGCGATTTAGTAAAACTTGCACTGGACTTGAACAATGTTTTATTTATTGTTGCCTAACCATAAGTTGTAAAGAGTTTTATTTTGTTTGCTTTGTTTTTATTTCTGGTGACAGCTGCAATCAGTTTGAAGAAAGCAAATAGATGGAAAGAATCTGAAAGGTTAAAACTCTTCCTTTTGGGATTTTCTGTCAAAGTAGATCAATTCTTAACCTCAGCCTTCGCAGTGCCCCTTTAATCTGCTGAGGTGGTACGCCTATATAGATTCCGCTACGCAATCTTTTTGATAGCATATTCTGCAAATGTGCTGTGTTCTTCAACAGCATGGAATCAACAGTCACATTATTTCTTTGGGGGCTGGAAAGCAAATGCTCCATGCATCTGTAATCATGTTTTCTCCAAGGCTATGGGTAGTGGGATCTCATGTTTCTTTAAAAATCACATGCAAACAAGTACCACTTGCAGAGATGTCAGTTCAGACCTGTATGGAATATAGTCTTATTTTCCTTCCAGATGCTTCTCTCCTTTTTTCCTTATACTCACAGACTGTTCTCCCACACCTCACTACAACTGTTTCACGATCTTGGCAAGACCATGAGAAAAGTGCCCAAAAGTTTTCTCATTTTGTGGAATGGTTCAGGCTTCAGAGCAAAACTTTTCTTACATCTTTTTTTCTTAAAAAAACCCACCCCACCTTGAATTTCCTCTCTGTATTTTTTGCACTTCTCTGTACCCTTTTTCTGCCTGTGTTCGTAGAGAAAAGGAGGTTTCTGAAACCCAAAATGTCAAGTTCTATCCCCATTGCTGTACGTCTCTGGTTTAACTGGCCTGGAGCTATCATGCTGGTTGAGATCAGAGATTCGCCCATACAAGAATCCTGTCTCTGACAACAGCTGATAGGTAAAAGAAAAGAAGGACAAAAAAAGCAGAAGGAAAAAAGGACAAAAATCTCTAGAATAAGAAGTGTCCTTCTGACCTCCTTTATGATTCCATGTCATGAAACTTGAGCTTATATCCTTCTACAAACTGTTTTTATCTTTCTCTGTTATATAATCTGTGTTACAGTAGCGTAGTTTTTATTATCTTACGACTATATCCTGAAGGAAAACAGCAATGAATTCTTCAGATTGACTTTACATGCCACGTCCCTCATGATGCCTTGGCTGCGGAGTTAGAGAGAGACCATAGATCTGTACCTGGGTCTCAGCATGTAGGCTTCACCCAACACATGCCTGACAAAGTCAAGCAAAGCTTTTCTTTTCCTGCGAGAGAAGAGGAATGAGTTTCCCCCTCCTCCTTCAAGAAGCTAACACACAAGAAACATCACGAATGAAAATTGCTCAAGCACCAACACAAGCCCGCTATGCTGCTGGTCATGAGTGTGCAGCACAGCAAGTATTAATGGGACAGATGGAAAACCATCCTGAAATTGCCCTAAAATATCCACAGTACCACTATGACAAATGTTGTTTCCTGGACAAGATGCTTTTGCTCAAGACTGACTAACACTCTACAGGTCTGGAGTAAACAGGATAAATAATGCTTGCGTGCATCACTTATAATTGAAAAATGCCTGTAATCCTCTTCAGCAGAAATAAATAGGTAACTATCATGCTAAGCACAAGGCAAAAATAAACACAGAGATGTCATTAAACAGTATCCTGTGCTAACAGAGCTCTCGCCATAGGGTAAATATGGGATGAACATGACATGAAGAAGTAAAATCTCTTTGTTTTATCATACCCTTTGGGTGACTTCGATACCTGGTGCACATGCCATTTCGAGTAGAATGAATGGCTTGACGTTAGCGCAATGAATAAAACAAGCATTTGCAATGTAGGAAAAGGTAATGCATAAGCGACCCCATTCTACAGTCATAAAACAGAGATGTTCTTCAAGTGAAGTCACGGTGGAAATCATTACCCTAGACAGGTTGCATTTACTTACAGCTCCCGCATCCGATGCGGGGACCGAGAAATGATTGATTCCTCAGTGAGCAACAAGGCTGATCAGTCATGAACTCTATTGACAACAGCATTAACACCTTTCAGCAGCACAACCTGTTGTCCCCTTGCTATAAAGCGCTGTTCCTACAGCCTTACCCTCGGAGCTGCCAGGGTAGGAGGCAGGCCAGGGAGCTAAGCACCTTCTCAGGATAACATTATTAATACTGCAAAGAGGAATGTTTCAGCGAAGGAGCAGAGCAGGAGTGTGACACGAGGGTAGACACCACCACAACCAGGCTGGTCATGGCTAGTATGGGCACCAAGCCACAGCACATAAAAATAGCCTTTACTGGGGAAGGTACTACTCTACAGAAAGCCCCTGTGTTACAGCAGTAGTAAGCTCAGCATGTCCCAGCGAGTTAAAAAAAACCCAACCAGTTCTCCTCCTCTATCATTCATTGTACATTAAGCAGCCAAAGCTCTCTGCTCGTCTGATTATTTTATAGGACAAACCCAGAACCTCCTGAAGTCTCTGATTTTACAAAAATCACCAGAGTTGGAAAGTGTTAAAATTTATACTACATGCTATATAATTTAAACCATATGCTAAAGTCATGTAAGTAAACCACGACCTGTCTTTCTGCTGGAAACAGTTCTATAAAACAGAAAAAAGTCTCAGGCAAAAATTTTGAGCTTACCATGCATATTTTAGGAACGGTAACAAATAAAACCAGAAAACCAGGGGAAGCCCCAGATACACATTAAGGCAGCTACAGAGGCCACAGAGCAACACCCCATCTTACCTCCTGGACCCCTGCCCAAAGGGCCAGACTCCCCCATTTCCCATTGCCCTGGGCAGCCCCTCCGAAAGGCAGGTTATTCTCCCACCACCCAACACGAGAAGGGCTGGGGGAAGCACCGCAAAGCTCTCTAATGCTCACTGGCACCGAGCGCCTTGTGAAAAGTAGGTGAATATTAATAGCTTGAACAGCTCAGGAGTAAGGAATACACTTTCCTTTTAAAAATAGGTTTAAATAAATCTGTTGCATTCAAGAAACGGGTGTGGGGTAAAAAGAACAGAAGCCCCACCTATTTAGAGTGATACAAAAT